ACCATCACATTAAATATGTCTAATTGTTGTAATTTTACATTCAATTTTAATTAAATAATCGTTTATTTGTAATATTGCTGTTTAATTTCCTCGCAATCGAAGTGAATGGCAGAGTGTATCATACTCGTTTATAAAACCCATTCTACCCTCGACTTAAGTATCCACTCTCGCCACCTGCTCAGGTGGATATACTCGTCTCGGGTAAAACGACGCGTTTTATGCACTTGTTGTACAATCTACAATTTTTTGCAATCGTTACACAATGTGGATTCTTAAACCCGAGTACCGTATTATAGGTACAAGATTTTAAGATCAAATTATGTAATGATTGAATACAATGCTTTTTCTACAAGTAAATTAAAATAATGATACTATTTTTGTCAACAATCCACCAACAAACTAAAACAAACGCTTCAAAACAAAAAACCAAAGAGATAGAATAGAAGTGTCCGTGATTGGCCAAGTGCCGCTTATATTTTAACCAATCAGGAGGCAGTAGAGCGTTCGTGTAGCATTATATTTGATATTTTAATTAGCAAATATACGACGTTCTGTTTTTGAAATTCCTTATAGTTCAACAGTAGGGTTATTTCATTTTGACAACGTCTGAGACCCAGAGGTTGGCACTAAGAGAACTTGACATGATAGGTACAACCAAACAAAGAGTCATCCTTAAATTATTTCTTGTGTGAATAGGTACAACCTCGGACTTAATTATTAATAATAATAATGTGCCAGACAACTACAGCAACTGGTCTCAAACTAGGAAATTCCCTGTACAATGAGTACCAGAGCGATGGAATTCACTCTGAAGCACTTCTCAGAACACCCAGACCAGAACCAATTTAGAACAGTTAATTTCCCAAATTGATCCTTCCGGGAATCGTACTCGATACCTTCGCAACCAGTGCCCACGTTATAAACCGTTAGGCTACCGAAATCGTCATTTCGTAGCTCATAGCACAGAAGTGACCCTAGTTTGACTTTATTTGTTGTGCACATTCTGATCAATTGTAATACGTCTGTATTCTATCGCTTACCGTAAAAACTAACATCTAATACTGACCTATAATAAATAACTACATTATTGAACAATAAAAATTAAATCACTGTATTTGTACGTTATTATAATACAATTAATTAATCACATAATTATTTTATTGTTATAATTATAAGCACATAATAAAAAAAAAATTGACTTTCAAAGCCACCATTTCGTTTTTTTCATAGTAATACTTACTTAAATTATAAATTAACAAGTTCGTCAAGTAATTTTGATCGTCGCCTATTTAAATATGGAACTTTTTTTTATAACAGCATAAGTGAACACTATAGTTGGATTTAAATTAAAGATAACAAACTAACAGCTGTTCTGTAGTACTAGTGTCACTTTCAAGAATTATGTTGCCATGTTTATTGTACAGTGTATACCGTTCAGTTGGTAATCATATTCTTGTTGGCAATAATAAATAAACAATATTTAATTTATACTTAGTGTAGTATATGCATAATTCTATTATTCTTGTTTATAATAATGAATACCGACAAATTGTTAATCGTGAGCGGCGCCGTCTGTCTTTAGGATGCGCAACGGGATTTGTATCTTTACTTTATTGCGTCAGTCAGTGAAATCGATCTTTTAACTCAACATTATTTATCAAAAATTTGCAACCCACTAAACGTTGGTATTACCTCTAATTAATAATCCGACTACAGTGTCACTTCTCCAATACCAAATATTAAATTGCCAGACTTTCAAATACATACGACATGTTGTGGATAGGGTTACCATATGCGGCAGCAGAGATGGACAAGCGTCCGGGAACAACATTTTTGTCCTAAATTAAGTTTTAGTCCAGAATTATGTAGTGCGAGACGGACACTGTACTTTTTATTCTGAAAATTGTTACCCTAAGCAGGGCTCCGTCACTAGCTCGAGGTTACGCGACTAATGCCTACCGCTTAGTGTATCAACGACAGTGCAAGCGTTCAGACAAGTCTTTCATTTACATTACAATCCTTGTCCAACCCCAGCATTCGGTTCCGCGCGACTGCACACGGCGGGCAACGTTATTTTCACCTCTCTGAGCGCGTGCTTAGGTTCCTTTTTTCTCGTAGTGAGTGCACGGTGTCATTAATCAGATTAAGTACACTATTATAGCGTAGGTATTTTCGATTTTGTATGAGAGTGATGTATCTGTTACGTAACTTAGTAACTATTCAAAAATCGGGACAGAAGGTCAAAAAATCCGGACAAATCCGGGATGGTAACCCTAGTTGGAAAATTTGACGGTAGGAAAATGTCCTGCAATACAACATCATCACATCGCAGAACGAGTGAGAGCCGTCACAAAGATTATTCGTTATCATGCATCGTGACTGCCATTTAGCAGCTAAACAGGAGCCTCGTTGTTAAGAATCTATACAACCTTAAATGACTTTGGTTGATTCAGCATAACAGTGACAGTGTTGAATCAATCGCTTTGGTAAAACAATATAGTAAAATCGGATATACACTGATTAGTATACTGTGTGAAAATACGAGTCCTAAAAATTGTCACAATGCAAAAAAAACTCAAACTTACCTCGAAATTTTACAAGAAAACCGCTGCTTTCAATCCAATAGGTACTTTACATATACTATGGATTTTTTTTTATATCAACTGAACTAAATAGAACACGTATAGCATACGATGTAAATTTTTCAAATGCTTTAAGTTTTTTCAAAAAAAGAATCTGTAATAAAGCCAGTGTCCCGAGCAAAATGAACCTTATTAGTACGGGAAAAAATTTTAATTTGAGCTGAGATAGTATCGACTCTTAACGACAGACACAGCATCCGAACAAGGTCACGAACTCTGCGTGAATAACAGAGCAACGATTGCTGGTACATTTTTAGATAACTTTAGAATAATCTCGTTTTTATCATTTATTTTTATAGCTTATATTATACTGCTGCAAATGTAACAAGACTCGTCTGATTTCTCTATAATACCTGCGCTAAAACTAGTTAAAATAATGATTATGTACAAATTATCAAATGTGATGTGTTAACAAACAAAACATTGAACCAAATCCATTGATTACAAATTAAGTTTACGCCATTTTCAATAATAAAAATTCGAAAAATAAAACATTTGTATCTCACTCCATTATTTTCATTACACACTATAATATTAAGTAATATTAACATAACTAGAATTATCACTCAAATAAACATTGGGGAGGCCTATTCCGTTGCACGCACGTTTCAAAACCTATACAATTGTAATAATTATTTTTTATTGTCATAGTGTCCTTTGTGTTTTATTTAAATAAATAAAAGTAAATAAAACGTTCCCACTACTTGTGCAAGTAATTTTTTAATAACTATTAACTGAATTTATAAGTTTATAAAAAGTCTAATAATTACCCTATATAATAACGCCCTCCTTATCATAAGTAACGTAACTGAATTTTTTTGCTAAATTGAGTTATTCGCATATCTAGAATCAGCCAAACCAGATCTGCAACCCTCTCTAATCGATTTTTTATATCTTATTTAGTTTGTTTTATAGTTAAAAAGAAATTATAGTCCATTTCACAAAACATGGGTACTGTGACATTTAATTTTTTTACGTTTTTACGTTGCTATACTATTTTTAACTAATCTTTAAACCAGGTTACAAAAGGGAATAGTAAATTTGTTATAATATACCAAAAAACAAAACAATATAAGTCGCAATTGTAATTTTCAGTAAAATTACAATTATAACAAATATTAAGTAGATAAAAAATTAAATGATTAAGATAAAAATAAATTACCCTAACTACTTGATGCGTAAAACGGAACATTTATCCATAGAGACATAGAATCGATAAATCGAATCGGCAATTGTTTATCTCGCGTCAATAAGAGAGCATTATATTCGTGTATGCAGGTCGTTTTCTTTTGTTGTTTGTTGGTGTTTATGTTTTTGGAGTAGTTGTTCAAAGTGCATTTCGTTGCTGTTAATTTTGTGCTTTGTTGTTGCCTTTTTGTTTAGTTGTTGTTGATTTTTTTATTTGTTGTGTAATTTTTTAGTAACCTAATAACATAATAATTGAATCCATTTTATTTTATTTATTATTTGTTCTTAAATTATTGTCTCCAAATCGATTCTCTCTTCGTTGCAAATTATCTCAATAAGATACATAAATCGATTATCTTTCATTCGATTTTACAACACTACATCTCTAGAACGTTCAAATCTCAAACGTCACCGTACCAATATCTCGGAAAGTTAAGAAAATGAAAATACGTTAGTCATGACAAAGAGGGCAGTATAGTCCCGCTGCTGAACACAGGCCTTCTCCCGCGATGGGAGGGTTCGACTGTAGTTCCCACGCAGGCCCGCAATGGGCCTGTTTTCGTGTAATGCGAACGTGTGCGTCTTATATGGAGTCTCAGGGCTACAGGCGCAGTGGCAGCGCCCCTCAGATCTTTGACATTTAAAGCTCTGAGAAGTGCTGCGACTGCAATGGACAGGCGTGTCGCTTACCACCAGCCGCATGACCTGTTCGTTTCGTCACTTCGTATTATAAAAAAAAAGAGTAATATAAGTTTTTTAACAACAGTTACTTTAGCTTTTGCTTCAGCTACGACTACCTAGATTTATACTTATAGGGATTTCTTAACTTTCTTAACTGCCGATTAAAGGCACAATACTTGGCTTACTGTACTCTGGTTCTACTTTTTGTGTAAAAGAGACAACACTATTTCCAAATTAAAAGGAATCCGTGATAAGTGCGCAAGAGAATAGCCACCGTAAAGGTACTTAAAATTATCAAAATAATATAAATTTTAATATTAATCATTATCATTACTTATTATATAATAATTACACATTATTTTGTGCGTATAATAAATAATGTTACGTGAAATGCCAACTTTCAGTCGATGCGTAAATAAAATTATTAATTAATAATAAAAAATATTTTAAAAAACATTTAAGACACGCTCTGATTTCATTTTCTTAGGCACTTAACGATTGCAGACTGAGCGACCGCTAGAGAAAACTCTTCTTACGTAAAGTTTGAAAGATGAAAATAGAAATAGACGATTTTCTAGAATAGTAACGTGGTCACATTTCCTTATTTCGAAACTTAGAATTTATACAGTCAAAAGTATATCAAGCTGTATACACTTTATACACTTTAGTTCAAATATCGCCTCCAGGGCGACGGAAAAAGATCTAATAATGTGTAGCTTGATGTGCTGCAGTCTGTATATAAAATTTTGTTATATACATGTACAATTTCTATATAGGCTTTTACATTTGTCAATTAAGCACCTTGTACAGTTTGGGTGTACTTTGAAGTATTTAAAAACTGACTTTGAATTTTTTCTAAAAATCTGTATAGGTACTCAGGATTCGGTACTTTCATACTGATTCCTTCACAAATCATACGTCCTTTTTGACTTGATTACACGTAAGATTTTATGTAAATCAAGGACTCTAAACTGCATCTATACCGACGCCGCATTTGTTACGAAACCCATGCAGCACAATAGTGCCGCGCTGCCCCACAATATATGTACCTCCACTGCAGTTCACTCCAACCCTCATCTCTGATCTACGCTCGAGCAGAAGCGGGGTGGTACGTGATGACGTTGTGCGCATGCGTGAAGGGGGGCACGACTCCAGATATAGGCGTGGCCGTGCTCGTCGGGGACGGTAGCTGAAGAGCTCTGGTCTTTCCGCCGAGGATGCAGCGGGTGGTGGCCCCGCTTTCTACTTCCACTGTCAGTTCTGAACCTGTTAACCTGTGGAGAAATCAACCAGTTGCAGAAATCGTTCAAGTACATACAAGTGGAAAAGGGTACCATTCAAAAGCGGTCTCTATAAAGCGGTCGCCAGTTATCTTAAAATTTTAAATAGTTATCAAAGTGAAAGAAACATTTATTCCATAGGTAAAACAAATTTACACTTGAAAACGTCACATTTAAGATACTGCTCATTCACTACGCTGATTTCCCTGAGAAAAACGAGTAAGAAACTCTAGGGATTGCTTTTTTCAAATAAAGTTAAATGCTATGGAACACACTTTGAATCAAATTTGTGTGGAATCTAGAGCCATGCCGTCTTTCCATACATCTTTATCTAACACGTAGTCTTCAATTTCGTAATATGACTTTTCAATCAAAATATTTTTAATGTAGTTTTGAAACTTAGGAAATGATAATCTTAATATATGCTCCGGAATCTTATTGTAAAAATGTATACAGTTCCCCATAAAAGAATCGTTTACCTTAGTCAAACGACGACGTGGTACCATGAGTTTGGACTTAGCTCTAAGGTTAATATTATGGATATCATCTTTCTTATTGAAATTGTGTACATTTTTACAGGCATATAAAATATTTGTGTAAATGTACTATGATGCCACAGTCATGATACCAGTCTTCTTAAACTTTTCTCTGAGAGAAATCCTAGAACCTAAACGGTACACAGAACGAATCGCTCGTTTTTGCAATACAAATATGGTTTGAATATCTGCTGCTTTACCCCACATGAGAATCCCGAGTACATTATACTATGGAAGTAACTAAAGTAAACTAGTCTAGCAGTACTAACATCGATAAGCTCACGTATTCTGAATTTATTAATTAATTAATTCGGACGGCGAATTAATTAATTAATAAATTAATCTGCAGGCCAGGGAAGATATATGTAGTTGTCGATAGTTTTGTCGATAGATTGTGAAAGATAAAATTTTGCCATAAATGTCTGGATTGTGAATTTTACAACGTTGTAATTATTACTAATTGCGTTATTGCCTTCTTTATTCTCATGTTCACAGTTGGCCTACAAGTAGCGAAATCAATTTTTATTCATATACGTTTTTAACAAGAACAGGTAGGTTTAGTATCTATATTGCATTATATGTATGTATGAACTTAAAAAAAATTACCTGTGCTCAGCATTTGGACGAATAATAGGCCAATGACGATTCAAATGACACAATTTCGGCTATTTACTCCGTAAGCGTGACCAATATTCAGTCGATAGTCGATAGAATATTTATCGGCTGCAATCACTACATACACTTTTGCGCAATGAAATATCATTTTACTCCGTCTTCAAACAATACAAACTATACACAATACATATATGGAAAAAGGTGGGTACTGACTGACATTCTAGTGGTTCTAATGCACATTTTGATTATATTATTACCTTTGGGTCTGTAATGTGAATATTTTGTTTGTACATAAGTAAATATTTTGTATCCATCAAATATTATGTTATATGTATTAATGTAGGGTACTATAGGTCTATTTATACAGTGTTCTTAGATAATTGTTTGTATATGACTGGTTGTTACCAGTCAAATGTGAGAATTACCTGAAGAAATGAATATCAAATTAATTAAGTTTACAATTAATAAAACACTCCATGGCGCATTTTTTTCACTAAGCTTTTGATCGCTACTAGCGTGGAAAATTCGAGATGTTTACTTAGTTCTCCAAAAGATAAAACTCCAGCATATTGCATTGACGTAATGTTTACTTTCGTTTGTTACAGTACAAAAATCAATACGATGGAAGATTTATTAAAGTAAAGACTTACCGACGACTCGAAATATGGGTTATATTTTTGGTGCGGCTATAATTTTTGCACTCCATACAGATTTTAGAGAATTTGCGCTAAAGAAGTGACACAATCATAACGTACAAAGCGATAATGGCAGACTGAGCTCATAAGCGTAACTACGCCTGCAGTTGGCACGCGCGCTACGCTTACTTACCACTTCTAGTGTATTTATTGTTATGTGGCTACTCACATGCGGTATCTGTTGGCCAGCACCCCCAGCAGCTCGCCCACCAGGTCGGTCTGCCCCACCAGCCCCACGACCAGGTCGTTCTTGGCCGAGGGCACGCTCACCACCACCAGCTGCGCGTCCGAGCTCATCACGCGCACGGCGCCCACCTGCACCGAGGACCAAGGTCGCTACACTCCAATACCCACTGCCGGGCACGGGTGCCCGTAGTCCGCAATGCGGGTTTCTTTGACCATGTTCGGTATTGTTGCTAAGCGTTCATAAGTACACATAACTTAGAAATTAATGTCAAAGTGCACATGGCGTATTCGCATCGTTGGCCTGGCGATTGTGAAGCAACCGTCCTTTATACATTACAAAATCTTAACAGTACTATGTTTGTCAAGCTAATAATTTAATTACGACTCAATATTCTTTCATGATTATGATTATGTCGTTATATTTTATTTATCGTTGAACGACTGTCGCATCTAACCTGTCCCCATAACAAGACTGTCGTGACTGTGTCCTGGACGTTTATTTTATCGTTGAACGACTGTCGTGTCTAGCTGTTTCCACTATATCGTGACGATAATTCATAGTTTGCACGACAGAATCGTTTGAAGCTGCGATTATCTGCCGTGACGTTTTATTTATCGTCAGACGACTGTCGTTCTATATCTTCCCATCGTCACGACAGTCTGTCGTCGTAACGTCAAAAAAGTCGTGAACGACTGTGGGTCTTATTGTTCTATGTGTAAACAACTTCATTCAAACATACACGTCACGACAATTTAAACTTCACGACATTGACTTACAATTATATGGACGTCGGGTCCGCGCTAAAAAGTGTCCGCACTTGTAAGGCGCTAAAATCGTATACAGAGCGCCAAAGTCCGCTTTAGTCTTCATTTGTTCGACTGACAGCGCGATACTGCGATGACATTACAATTTAAATTTCGAATAGGTTGACTTGGGGACATTTTTTTCGTGGTTTTTGTATTAGACCCGTCGTCCATTTATTTGTAAGTCAATGCTTCACGACTATGTATCGACACGACATAATGGGAATTAGTTTATATAGTTTAGTTAGTATATTAGTTTATATATATATATATTTGGGAATGCTCAATCCTAGGCGGTAATGAAAAATGAAAATTACCTCAGTAATTGGTGTTGGTTTCTTAAGCGGCTTAAAGCTGTTGCTATCGAGCTTGAAGACAGCCGTTTCGGTGACTAGTAAGCAGCGGTCGGCCAACTTGTTGTATCGATTGAACTTATGTATCTTGCACGAGAACATAGGCTTGCCGATTTGTTGTGACTTTTGGAGGGAGACTATTGAGGCTTTGTAAAGGGCTGCAATAAATAAATTAAAATGTCACAATGTCATATTTACTTTGTTAGAATACGTATTTTTAGAGAAACATGCTTTCAAATTGGTTAACTTTGAATAAAATTGGTTTGAGGATTTTTATTTCTCTCATAAAATTTGTAGTCAAATACATGGTAATTGCGTGAAACGGAAAGAATATTTTAAATGTCAATTGTGACAACATCGATAGTTGCAAGTGCAAATTTGACCTACCATATTTTTTGCAGGAATTTTTTAATGAAACTTGCTTTAATTTGTAAATAAACTAAGTGAAATTTTTAATGGGGGTGCATGAAAGCACTATATAAGCTTCGGCGGGTACGGGGATTGCTTTATTTTTTTTTTGCGTGTCCATAACAGTTGCAGTGCCACTCAGGCATTAAATCGCAAAGATCGTAGGGACACTGCCACTGCACCCGTCACCCTAAGACATAAGTTGACAAGTTCCTTGTGCCCGTAATTTCACCAGCGGGAAGGATCCCTTTAATGCTTACGTTACAGTTTGGCGGCAGAAATTGGTAAGGGGCAGTACTTCCCTGGACCAACTCTTTCCCTAGATATATATTTTACCGTCGCAGCGTTCCGCTAGCACAGAGACGCCGCAGCAGCCCACCCACCTGACTTGGCGTTGTACTTGTCGTCGGCCAGGTAGTCGCCCAGCCACTGGCGGCCCTGCCCCCACTGCGGGCGGCGGCCGCGCAGCGCGCTGGCGGCGCAGATCTTCATCTTCAGCTGCGGCCACTGCTCGCGCGGGATGGGCTTCAGCGTCAGGTAGGCGCGCCAGCGCCGGTACGCCCCTGCAAGCCCAAGGCCTTGTCAGCCACCAAGGTATTGTCAGTTGAGCCCTCCGCGCGACAAAACCATTCTGCCAAGTCATTACGCTGACCACTGCGCTCCGAATGGCCAGCCCGAATTCGAGACAATTCACGGGTGTCGTCACTTGTTTCACTTGAAAACGACCAGTTTATCTTGAGCTCTGCTTTATTGGACGAAAATTGAAAAACTACATATTTAATATTTAAATACGATGAAATGTGATTCCGTTTGTTTTCTAACTAGATGTTTTGCTGTTCTTCCCACACCACCGAACGGAACAGCCTCCCATAATTAGAGATGTTATCTTTATTACAATAAATACAGAATATTTTTGGAATATACGGAGACGTACACACAGGTCAGTTGTTGGCGCTGTCTATATTTCAGCTTTCTAATTTGTGATTTCAGTGCAAACGAGAGTTGATATTTAAACGTGATATAAGACCCATTTGCCTGATGAGATGCCAGGGACGGATGCCCTTACTTCGTCTCTATTTCTGGTTATATACTCGATGCTTACATCTCACTTGATGGAAAGTGACGATAATGTCGAGCATGCACACCTAAACAATGCCTATCCAGTCTCGCCTTGAAAAGGCCCAAGTTATACCATTCGGGGAGCAAGCCTGCAGGCAAGAAATTCCACTCCGTAACCGTTCGCCACATAAATGTGGAAGCGTAACGCTTCGTGCGAATCTTTCAAATACCAAACCCCAGCCCCGATGATAGAAAGGGGAAGGTGGAATTAAATTGTGGAATTCCCTCGCACGCTGTAGAAAATAATAAAGGATTAAAATTACCAAAATTTATTTTATACATAGTAATCATATATGACCAACAAAAATATAAATTGCATACATGTAAATAGCATAGAAGTATTTTAAATTTAGTTTCATTTAAAGTAATATTATCAAAAACAACGTGAGTTACACCATTTTTACGTTGATAGCCTTATTGTTAGATCAAACGGAGAGACATTCTTAATCAATTAATTAACTTTACAAAGAAAAATCCATTAATGTTTATAATCTGGGATTTCGGTATATTATTGATAGTACGGTTGTAGAAAAGAAAATAAGTATCGAGACAGCTAGTTGCTGGCATAAGATTGTTCAGTTTCATTATTTTGTTAATGTTACCCTGCACGATGGAGACGTTGAGCTTTCGGGGCGGCACGGGCCAGCGCTGGATGAGCCCTCGGCCGCGCTGCAGCTCGCGTTGCAGCTCCGACAGGTAGCGTCGCGCGCGGTAGCGTCTGCAACGTCACACAACACGTCACAGAACACGTCATACTCGCTCACAATTACGGTGCACATTCATTCCTTGTCTCCTAATAGCTTACAAACATTACAAAGGTAGTTTCTGTAAATATATATTGTATTATTATTTAACAAGGCTGTAAATGATCAAAGCGTGCACGTACACGTTCTGGTGTATGGGTGTAGGGTGGGTGCAGGAAATGATATATGAAGAAACTTTTATAATACATCACTCCATAATTAATTACTATGAGAGTTGGAATCGGCAGAAGTAAATGAAGTTAGGAATCTGTCGCTAAACAAGAAGGGTGGTTATATCGACCCCTCCTACGTAAAGTATCGTATGTCGTAATTGCCAAGTTTATAGGGAAGCGTTTTAAAGTTCTCAATTCATTGCAATGAGCATAACACGTGACTTTGGCATTTCTCAGTTTTATTCGGCAAAGCTTGTTACTCGCATAGAGTATTGTAAAATCCTAGATATCGGTTAGATGATCTACTAGATGATCACTCTATGTCAGTAATGAGGTTTTGCCAAACAAAACGGTGAACTTTAAAACGCTCCCTCGTAAACTTGGCAATTTCGACATACGATACTTTACGTAGGAGGGGTCGATATATACAACGACAGAATAGAAATTCATAAACAGGTAGTACAATGAGAAAAATAAATGTATAGAATATATCCTTCAATACGATTATAACTAATCGTAGCCCATGCACACACACAACAGAGCTACTCTCCGTTGGAGGCTAACCTCGCGCCACGGCCTGTGCACGAACGTGTTTCAACGCTAGTGCTCAGGGCGGTGAAAAGCGCGTCTAGGCACCCACCTCCAGGCGTTGTAGATGACGAGCGCGGCCTTCATCTTGCGGAAGCGCGTGCGCGCCAGCGTGCCGCGCCACAGCTTCTGCAGCAGCACGACGATGGACGGGATCAGCTCGGCGCGGGCCGCCTCCAGCCCGTGCAGCGTCTTGGCGCTCCTGGAAGCGGAAGCGGACGGTCACCACATGTGATGGTTCGCAGTGTCCGTTTCGAAGGACAGTTAGACAATTTCAACTTACTGCAAGTTACGACGTTTTCAGTTTGTATTCAAATTCTCCATCTAGCGGTCAATAGCTGAACGACGATGAATTTGAGACGTTTACTTAGTTCTCTATAAAAGAAGCAACCGTGTTGCAGCGCTATAAGATTTACTTTCGTTTCTTGTAATAAAAAAAAAAGATAATTACAAGTGCTACTATCACCTTTCTCTCCAAAGTATTTTTACGATTTTCGATGTGTGCGACCTTAACATACAAAGCGAAAATGGCAGACTCTGCTTAAGTATGTGGAGCTCTGCGTATTGTTGGCACGCGTGTGACACAAACTAAGCACTTCTACAGTATTTATTGTTCCGTGGTACGAACACTGAGCACTCGACAAGCCTAACGAGACATTACCTGATAAAGAGTTTGGTGTGGCCGAATTGCACGTCCGTGATCTGCAGGTCCCGCAACAGCACCATGACGGCGTCCTTGTCGTTGGAGCCGCGGAAGTTAGGCCAGGTGTACTGCGACAGCATCTTGTACCGCTTAAGGAAGCGGTCGTAGCGCTGGCGCGACGCGAAGCCGGCGCGCCGCACGCGCACGTTCTCCACCAAGCCCAGGTACGCCACTTGGTGCCGCACCTACCGGGCAAAGCGGTACGCGGTTCTTAGGCTACGGCTTAACATGTTAAACTCCAACGAAACAAGTGCACGGGCTTGGTCTCTTCAAATGATATAATCTTCGACGGCGCTGCAGCGGCGAGGCGTCCATATAACTCGATTCCCACGGGCTTGCCCAAAATTTTCCGCGTATTACGAAAAGATTGTACTAAACAACATACCCCACCACCTAAAAAACATATTCAAAATATTCACTTTTAAACGCGTAATAATTTGTCCCGATATATCTAAACCAATCAGCGCGAGGTAAGCCGGTGGATCTGCGGGTTCTATTTCATTCATGAAATCACGCGCTCCCATCAAAACACAAGCACACATTCGCAAAAATCCACTTTATAACATCTAAAGAAAAGGCAAACCGAGAAGCCGGAATTAATCGGCTTCTAGGCGAATAGCGTTCACGTAAATTTAAACCGTATTCCAACAAACTACTGTTTAATTTGCTTTAATATCAGTATTGTTACCAGATGTAAAACTTTCTTAAAATAATGTAACAAAATTATTATATTATACTAGCAAATTAATACAAAATATGGTCAATTTGTATTTTGTAAATCTTAACGATAAATAGTGTCACATATGTATCTATACCTATTTGAGTGTTTCTTTTAAATAGGGCTACGTAAAGAATGTATGTAGAAGGTCGTGGTAATTCGAAGGTAATTAATTAAAATAGCAACATTTAGCATTCATGAGTTTGTTTAGTAAGAAACTTTCATATCGCGACCGGCAGCATAAAATGTAGTAAATGACTTTAAAAACTATAGTTATTTTATGCGTAGACTAATAACTGTCATGTTTAAGTGTCGCCAAGGCGCCTTTTTAACGGGGACAGTAAATTTTTGTTAAAGTAAGTGTTTTTAGTTTCTTCAAAAAGTTAAAGGTTTCGGCTTTACCAAATAAAATTTTCACGCACCTGCCACTGCAGCACTGACTATAGGCTCAGTCAATGCGCACTTAATATCTAACTTCTGAGCTGTCTTTTAAAACGAGCTATCAAAATACAGTTAATTCATCGATTTACACGGATATATTGCAACGACCTTGATCGACAACGATGCATTTCGATGGCCATGTGATTTATTTATTTATTGTTTTGGCTACGAAGCCATCAGCTTGAAAAAATAACGAGAATTAAGATGAGTATGTGTGTGTGTGTGTGTGTGTGTGTGTGTGTGTATTATTGCTTTCCGGTGTTGAAGGGTACGTGTGCTGGTGAAAGTGTCTTGTTAACTTATGTCTCAGGGTAACGGGCGCAGTGGCAGTACCCCTCAGATCTTTCTGATTTAAAGCTCTGAGTGATACTGCCACTGCTATGAACAGGCGTGTCGCTTACCAACAGGCACACGACTTGTTCGTCCCGTCACTTAGTTATTATAATAAAAAAGGAGTTGAGTAGTCTGCAGACCGGTTGCGGCATGAGACCAAAGCTACTTTATTATAGTAATGTCTTCGGATTTCCGTAGTATACCAAATTTCAAATCATATTTGTGAATGAGATCCCTACAATAACTGGGTTAAGGACTGACCAGCTGCTGGTCCCAGGCGTTGGGCGACTGCAGCGGGTTGGGCTTGACGCAGCGAACGTAGAAGGGCTCCTTGCTCTGCAGGCCGGTCACCAGCGAGGCCATGGAGTTGCGGAACAGCGTTGCGGCGGACGGCGGCCGCTTCGACGTCTGACAACAAAAACACCAACATACCGAACAATGACAAGTCCTGTGGCCGTAACATGGCATGCGATGTGTGATGAACCCTTGATAAATCTCACCTTGACATGTTTATTTCAGTTATTAAAGGTATGTTTCCATTATCAGTTTTTTATTATATATATAGATATGAAATTCCGTATATAGCTATCTTTGTCGTTTAATCATCGCCGCGAAAACGATGAATAAAAAAAGCCGGGTTCTTGTAGATTCAGTTTTTACATATTTTACGTCATATTAGTTATTATTTCCGTATTTCTAATACGTAAATAATAACGTACGTATTTGTTACTGTATTAAAAATATTCTCATCACCTTTCATCAATAATTTATATATATAAATTTGTTTGTTTTTATTATTTCTTTTTATCTCGTTTATCGCGCTTAATTTCTACGTTGATAAAATTAGCGTGCATAACTGTCAATATTTTAAAATCAGCTGTGAGCTTTTGCAGCCATTGGTCGGGGCCTTGCGATGCGACAAAAATATGACGTCACGGTGCGCGCCGTGTTAGCTATTGTGATTAAAATTTTAAAATGTAAAGACTAAGTTACTCAACTACACAGTATCAAGACATCTACTAAACTAACAATATTTTTATTGCGGTTGTATGGACATGGAAACAGTGTAAAGAGGAGGTTAGAATAATCTGAAAAAGCGTTCGTCCAAAGAAGTACTGCCACCGTACCTAATTCTCCCGCCAAGCTGTAATGTAAGCATTACTGCGTTCCGATTTGGAAGAGTAAGGAGGCTGGTGAAATTCATTTTTACACTCTCACACTTATGCCTCAGGGTGACGGGCGCCAATATGATCTTTACGATTTAAAGCTCTAAGTGGCACTGCAACTATTACGGATAGGCGTGTCGCTTACCACCAGGCGCGCGACTACTTCGTGTCGTCACTTGGTATTATAAAGAAAAAGATAAAAACCAACCTTCTGTATATTAGTGCCCCCCTCCGGCCACATGTCGGACAAGGACTTGTTGGTAGAATTGTAAAGCAGCCGCTTTAAGTCTTGCCATAAGGAGTCCTTGTTCTTGTCCATGAAACCCGTTATCGCGTATGTGACGTCACCAGCATAATGACTAAAAAAAAGAAAAAGTCCTTAAAATAGGTAACTGTAAACATTGGTGCATGGTTTTTAACACGTGCAACAATCATATGATAAAAATCATGTGATTGGTCACTGAATTTCCAATAGCATTTTAGTTGACGATAAGATCATTTGATTGGTCAATTTGAATTTCGGAATGAACACGTGATATTTAAGTCATGTAATTGGTTATTTTCGATTTCCTACCGCATTCAAATGATAACATGTTAAATACTCCATGCCATACTAACAAATTAATCTTAAGTGTATTCCTTGAATTCATAAGTACTTGGAAATATATTTTTTCGGACCTAAATCACATTAGTCAGGCGTGACCGACTTTTGGGCGCTTTGCACCCAAAAGTCGGTTTGTTTAAAAAAATACACTATTTAAATTTGAATAAGAAACTGGATTCATATATGTAATGCCTATAATCAGTCTTATTTGAAGACAGAGTAAAATAACGTTTGCAGGGTTAACGGTTTCCATAAAATTTTAAAAAGTCATGTAGTTGTCATCGACAGTTTTATCCCAGGATTTTGAAAGAAGGTCAAATTTTGCCAAATGTGTCTGTGAATGTTCGGCGTTCTAATTCGAGTTCGAACTGCCTCTGTGGCCGAACGGTTACCAAGCTGGACTACCACGCAGAGGTCCCGGGTTCGATTCCCGGGTCGGGAGAAATATGCGTATGGCCTAAATTTATTTCTCTCGAGAGTTTGGGTGTAATTTGTGACTGTCGGTCTATGTGTGTGTCCATGGCACTCGTGATACTGTGTTTCCCTAATGCAGAGCTATGAGCGTGTGCTTATAATGTACATGTGTACGTTATTAAAGAATACCAATTGCGTTATTGCCTTCTTCATTTTTATTTTCATAGTTGGCCTACTAGTATCGAAATCAATTTTTATTCAAATACATTAACAGGGACGGGTGGACTTGATTATCTATTTTAAGGTACAAGGAAAAATTTAAAATATGTCTCCTGTTTGTATTTTTAAGTTCTATAAATGCAGTATATGCATGTATGAACTTACAAAAAATGTCAATTTAATGAACCTGTGCCCACAAACTGGACAAACAACGGGCCGATAGTGACTCAAATGGAATAATTTCGGCCGTTTATTACATGAGCGTAACCAACATTTAATCGATAGTCGATAGAATACTTATTGATTGCAATCACTAGATCTCTAGATGCTCTACTAGATCTACTAGATGCTCGCAAGCGGGCAACACTTTTGCGCAAAATTTTACTCCATCTTGAAAAAAGAGACTACAGAGAGCTTGCCATATCAGTCGAAGGGTAAAAGTAACGTAACTTACGTGATGCGAAAATCGACTGAGTGTTTGAGCTTCTTGTCAGTGGCTGCGAGTTGTCGTGACGTGTAGTGCTTGTGTCCGGCTAGGCGCTTGTCCAGCGCTTCCAGCAGTTGCGTGTCCGATATCTGAAATCACAGGATTTCAACATAGAAGCAATATGTACTACTGCACAAGGCCGTCAATCACAAAGCGCAAGTCCTTTTTTTAGAATTGCACTTTTAGGCTCAATTTACATTACAGCGGAATGTAATGGAAACAATTTTTTGTAACGAAATTGCACATGGCATAATGAACTTCATAGGTAATTTTCAGCTTATCGAGTTCTTAGGTTTTCGCGATTGTTACACATAGGAAATGAAACTATTTTTCCGGATTTAAATCGCGTATATTTGTTTTTT